GAACGTGGCCAGGAATAGACATCTGGCTTTTGTGGGTATGAATACCATCTTATTTGTAAATGTTTCATTATATATGAAGAGTTATACTGCAACTAAAACTATTCCAAATTATTAACGGACTAAATATCTTCCATCCAGTAAGTAGATATTTTTACCTTGCTGTGTTTTGTATAAGTGATTATTTTAATATATATATATATAGTCTAAGGAGATTGTAACATGGACATTAATCTGCATTGCTTTTCTTAAGTTCCTTATGTTCTTGGCCAGAGTATTAACTTGTTTATTTTCTAATTGCAATTATTATAGACAACGTACTTTGCCTAACTCTTCAATATTAGGAAATTGGCCTAAAATTATACTATCGCTACTTTCTATAAATGTTTGGTAAAAAATATGTAAATAATCAATATTATATATATAAAATAAGTCAAGTGCCTGTAATTATTAAAAATATAGGGTGTCAGAAGTGATATTGATCTACCGACAAAGGTACTAGACGAGTCGAAAAGAAATGTCACAGTACGCAAGTTCCTTAAAACACCGGGGTATCGAATTCCAAAACCAGTCAAGGAAAGTGTGAAGACTTTTAACGTGATATTTATCCAAGGGATTAATTTGAAGACTATGAAATTCTTAATGAAAAAGTCGTTCATCAGTTGACACTTGAAAAGTTTCCTTCTATTTCAATTAAAGTTTTAGAGTATCAACTTATCCTAGCAGTGATGGATTGCAGGTATAGAACTCAGACCAGGGTTTCCATTTAACGGGGTGGTATTTTCAATAAGGTTATATATTGTTCTTTTCACTGGCTCTGGGGTCCACACAAACTATGAATATTCGTGTCCACCGGATAGATACATGTATGTTTTAACTTTCTTAGTATTTGGGGAAAAAAATCAATTTTTGTCTATTAGTTTAACTTACTCGACAGCAGAAATTTACAGACAAAAATATATCGTTTATATTTATAGCGTTAGACACTTAGACTAGCAACTGTCAAATTAGAATATAGGATTTTTAAAATATACAAGTTTCACGTGTCATTTATGAGTAAGGGTTCATTGCAAAGGTGACCAAAAAATTAAAGTAAATTACTAAATAAGAGGTAACTGGGATAATTCTACACAGTTTTTCAATAACCGAGAGATTGCTATTCGTTCAATTAAAGGCAGCGTGAAAAATTTATAATGAATCTGTCTGTGGGCAGTTTTAGAAACTTAATCTTTGTGGCTCATATTTCACGGAGAACTTTTTCTCAACTTTCCGTAAACAATTGTTAAAGTCCTTCTGTTCGTCAAAGTACAATGTATTCCACTGAGTTACGTGTCCCTGTTTACTTGGGATTATAACACCATCACAAAGTTTCATTCAGGTTTGAAAAAGGACATCAATTATTTCAGGGCAGACATTTCAATGAGGGGGGTCGGAATCACCAAATAAAGATTAGAAGATTTCGGATACAGAAACAAAATGGCTTCCACAACAGCTGCCTACCGGATGCTGCGCGGTATTCAGTTCAGACACGACTTCTTATTCGGGGAAACATGTAAGTTCAACTCTGTTTCAAAGTAATATAATTCATGTTTTATTTCTAATTGCCTTTGTTTTTTTCTATTAATAAAAATTATATGGAATTGTACTTGAATTTTACGTATAAACTTGCATGCAAGGCAAAAGGCCATCCGTGTAATTAAAGTCCATTAGACTGTATTGTTTCATAAGCAGCGTCAAATACTGATAGAGAATTTTAGAGGCATGGTATTATTTGACAATGATGTTTAATCTTTGGTCCTGCGGGGGAAAAAGTAAATCGAATAAAAGGATTAAGTGGCTTTCCACTATATTGAGCGACTTCCTTGACTGGAGATGTTGAATGATGCGCTAGATGGGTTTCCTTTTGTCTTCCGTCTAACATATTTATGTATGAATAATTGAAAATCTATACCAACTTAACGGAAATATTAAGGTGGTGGATATATGAGGGAGATAAACAAAGAAATGATTATATTTTCTTTCATCATTTTTCTTATGCGTAGAATTCGAATGAAAGCCTAAACATACCCGCAATTTTGAAGATTTTCGAAATACTGCCTATGGCATCCAAGGTATCACACATCAAAATTTCAATTTATTCTCTAGCTTTCCGTCTCTTAACCTTATCCATAGTTTACTAACGAGCACTTGGAGATTGATTTCTTTATCCCCCCTTATTATTAGTTATATATCCTACCTTAAAAGGGGGATATTTTTGCCCTCCGTCAGTTTGTTCACTGTTTCTTTAGCACAGTGTTTAAAAACATCTGCTCTTCAACCATCATACTCCTCACATCAGTTGTATATAAGTGATGTATTCTGACCTTGACTCAATATGGCATTTTAAAGGTCAGGGTCATTGTAGCCACCTGTATTTCCAATGCTTCCAAGGCCGTAACTAACATTAAGGTCAGATGACACGTTCCTCAAATATTTGTTTTGTATCTCTTGATATTATATAAAGAATTATTCATAATTGTCATTATCTTGTGATTTCTAAATTGTTTTCAATATGCTTTTTTCAATATATTTTTAAAAGTACATCAAAAATTGTGACATAGGCCATTCAGAAGAGTACCAATATGGATTGTGTAAGGAATATCACCCTCTTGTGTCTTGTTCAAATCCCTAGTTACGTACCTCAATTTTTTGTGAGGAAATTTGTGCTAGACTTCAATGACAAATTCTTGGAAAAAATTATATATTTTTGAGGAATGTGTCGTCTGACCTTAAGGCGAGGTAAATGCCTCACTAAAATTTTAGAGTTTTCTTAAAAGTGAAAAGTTTTACTTTGAACTTTTATTAATTATGTGTACCTTCATACTATATTAATACTTTCACCCTTTGTCTTAATTTCAATTTGTCTTTTGTCTTAATTTCAATTTCTATAAATCAATCATCTCACCGGGTGTTTCATTATAGTTTAAACGCACGTAAACGAGAAAACTTTTGAAGATTAAGCTTTCAATTTACATATACCCAGGTTTTGGGACCCCACCCCTCCGAGAACGCCCATCAAGACACTACGTTTGGCCCGCTTGGGTCTAGGGTGGCCCCCCAGATCCCTTGCCTCACTTAAAATTTGAGCCTATTTACGGCCTTGGCTTCTCACAATGCTTATTCTTGGGTAGTTTTAGTTCAAGGTTATACTTTAAAGGCAAAAGTTATTGTAGCTGTTTCGTGACATGTCCTTTTAACATTGTCCATTAAGAACAAAATGATAAAACAAATCTCAGGAAGTTTGTTTTATGCTGGTTTTGATTTGTAATATGTAGTATTCTTACTGGTTTTTAAGTCGGATCAATGCCTTTCTAAATTTAGTTATAAGTGTTAAGACAAGGACAAAAAAGGGACAACAATTCGCAATACTAGATTAATGAAAAAAAATTTATGGACAATTTTGCAAATTTAAAAAAAAAGAAGTAAATTACACCTAAAAGAATAAAATTCAAGATGGTATGTAGTATGTTGTGTCCTATGTTAGTATTCGAGTAGCTTAATTTCTTGTTGCGTCTTCCCTATCAAATGTGGATTTTAAATTCTTTGAACTGATATGTAAATTAAATTGAACCTCTTGCATCCTTCTATTCCAAGTTATTTTAAAACTAGACATTGTGAACGATCTTGCAAGCTGGAGAAATTAAAGTCGTCTCCTTCTGTCATACATTGGTTCAATGTTCAGAACTTTATCTCTAAAATATACACCACCCGAGCTCCTTTTTTTGTCCTTCTCAGTAATCATCCAATTCAATTGGGCAATGAATATTAAATAAACAACTCTGTCAACTGTCAAGGCCATTTTTCCAAATGAAGGAGAAACATTAAAATCAATGTGAAATAACATATACCCAACGTGTAGTCCTTTCTCGTTATGGCAGACTCCGTCCTCCACTCATCCGAGTTGATTACACCGGGGATGCATTACAGGGGATAATGAACTAATAAACTCAATCAATAGAAGGATACAGATGCAATTTACTGTCGTAAATAAGGATTTGTTCATTAAAAAACCATACAGAGACATGGGTTTCTATGAAGTCCATACATGCACAGATCTAATATCGCGATTGAAGGCAAACCTTCGATATATTAGAAATTAGGAACGTAAGCTTAAAAGTGTTTGATAAAACTCGAAATTTTGAAAAGAATCAGAATAAAAGATAAAATCGGTCAACAAATTGATCAAACATGGTATTCAGTCATTTATTATAACGTAGCCCCGCAGTGGGCTGTGAGAATCGTCTCGTCAAATGAATTTCCTTTGAATCCTAGCGAGGTGTACACCGCCCCTCTCGGTATGATGTTAATTGGAATTTGATCCCGTATACTTAATCTACCTTTCCATATTACGGAAAGTGGCTCGTGTGGTTATGTCCATAAATTTTTGCCAGTCTTTGATTACTCACTCTCAATTCCTGTTTACTCACCACTTAACAATAACAGCTATATTGATAAGTCACCAGCGACCAGTCTCCCAAAACTTTAAACCAAATCGGTTTACAAGGATCTTTTTATTATCAAATTAAACAAATTGCCAAAGAGCCTTAAAAGGGATGTCAACCTTGAAAACGGTTTTATAGAGTGTGCTGGTGTTTAAATATTGTTAGATGAAGTGATTTTAAATATTAGAATTTAATCTGTTTTTATGATCAGCAGTATGTAATTGCTCTGGCATGTTTGGGTGGCAGTTAATGAGAGAAATATGACGTCTACCAGAGATCAATGGAACTGAATATTTTATACACCCTCTCAGGTGTACACATATATTCTAGCCTCTCGCCGATTTAGCCTGAATTACAAATTGTGTTTGCTCAATTTGGATTTTTGAGAGATAAATTCTTGCACGAAATGAGAAACTTATTATATGGATCGATATCGCTGGCAGATAAGTATTAATAAGTTTTTACTTAGACTTAATCAGGATTTCTAAATGGTTCATAAACACTTAACGTGCAGGAATTCGTAACCAAGATTTAAATTACCATATTTTCTCCCTCGTTTTATTTTCGTTAATATTATCGTCTAAATACAGGTAATGTAAACAGAGACTGATTAGAACGCGCAGGAGAAATAAATTATAATGACTGGTCACCCTGAATAACGCCGAGTTGTTCAAATAAAATTTGAATTAAACGTACCCATTCACTCAGTGTATATATGTATTACATTTCTGATAATCAATAAGGATAGAATATTGAGTGGATTACTGGAATACGACGACTAATCCGGATCACTATGGGTTTGAAATGTTTAAATAATATACTTACATGTATATAATCCGGGAGTGTACAATTATAAGCAGTGCCAAGCAGGTGTCACTATAGTGTATAGATGTACCAACGAAACAAACACATTTTGGAAACAACGGAAATATACAGTGAGAATGTGATATTCCTGTTTTGACAAAAAAGTCGTTTATGAGGATTTTTCATTCATTTTAAGGATTATTTTATCTTGTGAAATTTTAACTTGACAGGTTTAAATTTTAAGAATTCAGAATGAATGTTGGTAAAACTCGGCGTGTTTATCATAGTAATCTGAACCTTCCCAAAGCATTCACACAATATGACCTGATGCAGTCGGGATTCGGAAAGAGTATGTCCATGGAAGGATTGAATAGAAATCATACCACTCTTGTAGACTCCAGTCGACGAAAAAAGATGTCTAAGATACAGAAAAATGAGAGCAAAGAAACATTGCCCCTATGTTTACCGAGGTTGGAGCCCGAGGTCGATCTAGACCTGGATGTTGAGGCACGAGATGTTAGTGCCACAACAAGACTTGCATCTCAAATGGATTCGAACCCCAGAGGAACGACAGAACCGGAAGTCCGGACCGAACACGAGAGCGACAGTGATGAGTCCGATTATCTTAACGATTACAGAGACGACACAGAAACAGCTCATAAGAGGCTGGAACAAATCGGCGTCTTTGAAATGGAACATAATTGGTTATTACATGAGGGATTCGAACGTGAAAAAGAATTGTTTGTTACTAAAAGCAGAAAAATTAATATTGCTCTTCCAGATGAGAACCCAATAACTACAGTAAATAGCAGGATTGAAGAGGTGAACTCAATGGTAAAACCCAAGGCTGACATTGGCATGCTGCTAAAAAACATGAACCCCGAGCAACAAGAGAAAATTCGGGTAGGTTTTCTTTAAAAATAAAAATGCATTTCAATGCATATATCTTTAATAAAAAATTTACAATTGAAAAAAAAAATGATTTAAGAAAAGAAAGTATAATACGAAAACTTATTCTAATTTTATAAAATGTTGATATAGAATATGGCTCTCTTTCCCCCAAGTGATCAAACTCGTAATGAAAAAATTGAAAAGTTTGGTTTTAATCATGTATATTCATATCCATTAACAACCAATATTGTTACAACGTCTAGACCTTTGAGTAAATTAATAAACACGAAAACTAAATGCTCTGTTTTGTTTTCCAATTAAAGTGGATTTGATAATAATTTGAGGGATAAGTCACCGTCATCTACATCGATAGAAAGATCAAAGATTTTGATTGTGTCTTATAAAGGAAAACAATTGTAAATTAAAAAAATGGTTTTGGTTTGGGGAACTCACTTCAGAATTGCCAATAAATGAGAACAGTTAAATATATATTTTAATAAATGTCTGTGATTGATTGCGTGGTCGTCTATGGCAACAATTGGAATCTACCGCCTCAGTACGCCAAGCCTTGTCTCTTGGGTCCTCTCTTTTATGAAAAACTAAATGGAAATTTAATTTTCATTCCAACAATTATTAAAGTTCGTTATCTCAAATAATGACATGTAAGGTTCTACAGCCTGTTTTTTTTCCTATGGATTTTTGATTATTTTTTTTTTAAACGACATGGTTTGAATAAACTTAATTTATTTGATAGCCTTTTTTAACATAGGGAACATACAATAAAGAATGTGCATAAATTATCGACATTTTTACGGCTTTTAATAATGTTCAGTATGTACATTTTCCGTTTTGTTCAATTAAGAATTTAAATATTTGCTCTATGATAATTACCTGAACTAGTCTTTCAAAGAACTTTAATGTATACGATGTGTTTTACTGCCAGTTTTGCAAAAGCTTTCGAAGGATATTTAAAAAAAAACACGTTCCTTTAGCCGCGTCACAATTTCTCCTGTACAATACCAAAAAATTATTACTTGTAATTTTTTGGTAAAAATTATCTTGCTTGTCTTTTGATACAAGGAAGTTTCTGTTGGATGGAGTTTCTTATTTTAGATATGCCTTTGCTGAAGTGTTTAACAGGACAAATCTTCAGCATGTTGTAAATGTGTTCTAAATCAATATAATGTTAAATATTTGATCTGTTCAACGCTCGAAAGGACAAGAGCCCGTTGAACTATTTTTGCAGTAAATGATAGAGATCATCAATATTGCAAATAGAGAATTTGTCTCTCTACAAGGCGGGTGCATTATTTAAAATAATGGACAACTGGGGAAAAAAGTTGAGATGTGACAAAATTGAAAATAGGAAAACAGACAAGAAATAATCAATCATTCTGAATTGAGTTCATTTTTATTATTCATTAACACTCTTCTACCAAGTTATAAAAATCTCCTGCCCTCTATCATTTGAATTTCTTTTTAAGTGGTAAAAAATCATGCTAGTGCAATTTTTCATTATTGTTAAGCATACTAGTACATGTTTTGCGGTTATGTTGCAGATTATTGCTGAAACGGATATCGGCGACATCAGAAAGAGATTTAGGAAAAGTTGGAAGGTAATGTCATATACGGAAAAAATTATACAAATGAAGAAGTGACTACTTTTTATGGATAAAAAATGGTTCTCGTCTACCATGAAGGTCATCATTAACGATACTACAGAGTAATTAACAAAGCAATCAATATTGTTTTGTCACTGTAAATATGTTTATCTAGGAAAGTAATCGCCGATTATATTCGATACGTATACAAAACATACTTAATCATCTGTAATCCTATTTGATTGTGTAATACTTAAAACGTAACAATGTACCTTAATAACTGAATAATGTCACTGACGCGTATTAGATCAGTGGACTGAGTGGAGGATACGATATTGGAATAAATTGTTATTGCAAGTAATTCGAGGGGAGCTTATGCCATTCCATGGCGTCGGCGTTCCAGGTTAAAGTTTTTGGACCAGATTTATTTTTAAGTAACTGTTTGCCCTTTGCTGACCAGAAGTGCTTGGGTGGATCATTAACACCAGTCATGTTTCAGATGCATTTTCAGCCAATACATGTATTTCAAAAAGAACGACCAGTTTGTTTTTGAGCAGGTTAAAGTTTTAGGAGCAGGTACCATTCGCAAGTTTCTGTAGGTCTTATCTGAACCAAACTGGCAGTGACAATACGTGACAAAGATTAAGTTTTAGAGTATGTCCATTTCAAAATAACTATAAGGTTTATGGTGACCAAACTTGCACTTGCATTGACAATGCATTTCGGGACGAACATTACCGGGACTTTTAATTGTATGAGACTTTGCCTTACTTAGAGATCTTTTAGCTGAATATCGTAATCTTTGATTACACGTTTGAATATACCAGAACACGATGAAAAAGAGTTTGAAAGAATCTAAATGCATGTATATTCAGGTTTTTTTTCAACTAAACAATTTTCTTTATCAAATTTGTCCTCATATTTCATTTTTTATCTATTTATTAATTTTTTTTATTTATTTATTATTTTAGAACGAAGACAAACTTCACCACGCCCTACTGATGATTAAAATCATGAACAAAGCCCATCTTCCAAGGCGGAAGTAAGCCTATCACATTGTGTATCAACTTATTGTAAAAATACCAACAAGTCCAAAAATGCACAAAATTCCAATTTTATTAACAATTGTCACCATTTTTCAATAGATGAAGACGGTGGAATTTTAGTTCACTTTAATTAATTTCTAAAATGATAAAATAAGTAAACTGGATTACAGGTCTGGATTGCATTTTGAGGTGTAAACTTTTCTTATTGCAATCTTTTGTTAAGCAATAAACCGTTATTTCTGTAGATATTTCAAAGAAGAGAAGCCAGTTGCAGGAATGGCACTGAGGCGACTTAAAGCTCAGGATCAATCGGAGCAGGTGGAGACACCCCAGCGCTCCTCTGTACGTATAACTGCTATAAATATGTAGTCTATACCACTTACCTCTGGGTTTTTGTATTTTCCCCATTAATTGGCTTTTGATATGGAGTTCTAGGTCTGGAAACTCTAGGGTTTTTTTTTTGTTTTTTGTTCTCCCATTAGCTGGTTTTTGATATGGAATTATAGCTATGGTAACTAGTTGTTTCATTTTTTTGTATTTTCCCTATTAGCTAGCTTTTGATATGGAGTTAGCTCTGATCACTCACCCAGCTTACAGGACAGAAGAGGATCTGGCAAAGGTAGATAATTTCAATAATTTATTTGCCTTAAGTACACAAAAAATTGCAAAGGAATATTACTCATCAAGGAGAGTTATATTTTCTATTTAATTTTAAGGTTATGTGGGTGCTACGAGCTACAAAAGCTTTTAATCATTTGTTTCCGGTAGAAAAAGAGAAGGATCTGGCGAGGGTCGTGGGATACGAGAAGTACAACATTTTAATTTCAGCTTTCTTGTTATATTGATGTTTTGTTATTTCTGTTAGAATGGTGTAGTGAACAATTCTCGAATGGGACGTTAAACAACATACAATCAATCAATTTATCTTTGAATAATAGGTACGACCCCAACAGAATCATGGCATACCAGGGGAAGAAACCAGAGCGATTTTACTATATTCTGACCGGAAAAGGTATTTTCACTTAACAAAATAAAAAAAAAAGTACATGTAATGGTGAAAAGTTGAAATTCTCATTAGATAACGTACAATTTTTTTCTTCTTTGTCTTATTCTTAAAATGTGCTTTATGACAAGTATCATACCAGATATAACTTTTATACCTGTAAGCTTTTGAATTTAGCTGTACAAAATTGCATTGATTGTACTGTTAAAGTAGTGGCCATGACTTGTTTGAAATTCTTTCTTTTTTTTTGACATAAAATTGTTCCTTGAAGAATTTAAAGAATCTTTGAACAAACTTCAAACTTCATGTCAACTTGAACCCCCAAACATATTGATTAAAAATAACCGCTCAAACACATTACAAAAATCACCACGATCCGGAAAGTGTGCAACAAATGAAATACCATATACTGGTATTTTTTCAGTACGGAAGGTGAGGGAGTACAGTTTGTCTGAAGGAAAAGTCACTCGGACCGAGGGGCTGATCAACAAAGGGACGACCACTGATGTAAGTTTTAGAACAAAGACGACAAATTATTCTTATGATGGCATTTTATTTATTGTTTAATACAAACGCTACCAATGAAGGAAATACTGATTAACAATAAGATTTGAACGTAGATTTTTAAAGCATAATTTTTACACGAAGATTATGCAATTATTCTAAAATTTATAGCTCCACTTTAGCTTAACTATCAAAAGACGTCATTACAAACTGAGGTATCCTGATATTTTTTCAAGTACTTTCAAAAGCTGTACTTAAATGTGGCCCGCATTTGTTTGTTTTTATTCTATACAATGCAATCAACTTTATATTAAACATTCTTTATTTATGAAACAGAATTATTGAGGTAAATTGAACAAAGTAAAACACTGATAAACAAATCGTTTCAAAAAAGTTAATAAGAGCATTATTTTGAAATTCAGATGTACAGAATCAGAATATTTTTTTCATTTTTGATAAACTTGTACTGACAATGAGTACTTCTGAACTTCAAATCGCTTATTCTTACCCTTAACGTGTTTGTCATCCCCTGAATGTTCTCTGTGTGACAAGTGCAATTTCCTGGGTTCCCCTGAAGATTCTCTGTGCGTCTCTATATATTCCCCTGTAATTCACTAAACATTTTCTGTATCTCCATGAACACTCTCTGTGCGTTATTATAGACTCATTTATTCCCCTGTACATGCACTGTACTTACTAGAATCCCCTGTATTCTCTCTGAGTAAGTGTACGCCCTCCCCGTTTGAACATTCAATGTGGTCACTGCAATCTTCTGGTTTTCCCTGTACATATTCTGTGCGTCACTGTTACATGTATCCCTTGTTTTCCCAAGAACATTTTATGTGCGTCATGTAGACCCCAGTATTCGCCTGAACATTTTCTGTGCGTCACTGTTATCCCATGTTTTCCCCAGAACATTTTATGTGCGTCATTGTAGACCCCTGTATTCGCCTGAATATTTTCTGTACATCATTGTGATTTTATCGTCTGAACAATATCTGTGTAATCCCCTTTTGCCATGAATATATGTGTGCCATTCTAATAACCTTCCCCTTAATATTCTCTCTGCGTCACTGCAATTCTCAGTTTTCCCTTGAACATTCTCTTCTGTCATCGTGATCCCATTTTCTTCTGTAGATTAATTATCTGTCTCTGTAATTTTATTTTTTTTTCTCTGAATATTCTCTGTGCGTCACTGCAGTCCCCTGTTTTTTCCCTTTAGTTAGAGGAGCTGGAGGAACAGTGGTTGAGGGAGCACCATCTGGTGACGCAGGGCAATGTAGAGGTCCTTATTCTCCACAGATCAGTAAGTTCTAGCATCACTTATATATAACATGTCTTTACTCTCTGTAGTCTCCATGGCATACAGCAACAATGTAATACGGTAGAAGTTTATAAAAGAATTCATGTGAACAAAAATTAATAAATTATTGCTGCATTTATTGAACAAATCAGGCATGTGACAACTTAAGTTTTTTTGTTAGTTCATTAATTAAATTAAAAAATATATATATTCCAGGATTTGATGAGATTGCAAAACAAACTGGAAGGACCCCCTATTGAGTATCTTAGGTAATTGTTTGATTTATAATTAGTAAGTGGAGGTAATTCTAAATCCTCTACAGAGAGATTGTATGAAGCAGTACTAAGTCTATTTTTATTATCATGCTTGCAAGACATCTTTCTAATGTACTCGTGATTGAGGGACCGTATTGCTGTCTTTTGTAGGACGTTGCAGTTGTTTTATGAATTTCCAGTAGAAGTGTTTTTAACCAATACGGACGCAATCGAACTTAAATACTATGGGTAAATAAATAATCTTATTACATTTTCAACAGTGAAATACTGTGATTTATTCATTGAATAAAAGTCATATTCTCTCACAGTGTGAAAGGATACCAAAGTGGTATTCTCTCACAGTGTGAAAGGATATCAAAGTAAGTAAAATATAATTTCTGGTCTGTAATAAGATTGAAATAGTAACTAAACCATCTTGACAGAGACTAAAACTGCCAATTTCTTCCCAAATATGTTGCGAAAATCCATGTTACAATGTCTTGTCATCTTACAACTGCTAAGCCATGACGTCTCAACTACTCAACTATGACGTCACACAATTACATTGTGTAAGAGAAGACAGAGGCAAAGGGAAAATCAAAAAAATGTGATAAATAGAAAATTCAATGTTTTGTAGTTGGATATGGAATTTATTTCACTCGTGAGACAGGATTTTTTTATATTTTCCTTCTTGCTTAGCACTCGTGAAATAAATTCCATATCCAACTACAAAACATTGAATATCCTCTATTTACTCAACGGTAACAAATGTAAATCAAATGTTATGCGTAAATTTTTGGTTTATGTAAGGTTGATGATATATGGTTTGCAACAATGTAGATGTATGAGAAGTCCAATTAAATAAGTCAATGATACCCCTGTCAGATGATTTAGTCAGTTGTATAAAACTAACGGTATATGATATATTTGGTGGTATATTGTAGACAAGATGCAGTTATTTCCCATGATACCAACAGGACTCCCTGGATTCATGTTGTCAAGTCGGTATGTAACACAAAGTGATCCAAACAAGGTTTAAAGTAAACTCCTAAACAAAAATACTTTTTTCCCATACAGAATGACATTATAGAAATAATTTTGGATTTTGTAGGGTCGTGTTCGAGTTGTGCGAATGCAAACTGTCATTGATGTTCAAAATGAAAGTAAATTTGCTAATCAGAAAACGGAGGAGCTGGGATTTGGGCGTACATTTAGTCATGCTGATGGTAACCGTTCAATAAATTAAAATGAAAATAGCTAAAATTCACATTTCATGCATTTGCCATATTTTCTCTCTCTCTTTTTTAACTAATCATACATATATAATAATTCATTCAGGAAGAATGTGATGATCTTGCTGTCTAATACTTTGGGAATTTTGTGCCTTAAACAAATGATTAGTAAAATGTCTTAAACTTTCAGCAATGCTGGGGTCCCTGTTTTCACAACGGAAGGCCAAAGCTGAGCGTGGAGCGGATCAGATTTCTTTCCCAGAGGTGGGTATTAGACTTTATTTATGCAATGAAATAACACATAGAGGCTTATATCAACTTCCTTTCTGAGCAAAAGTAAAATCATAAATTACACAAAGAATGAGTTAATAGATTAGATCAATATTTTCAAAGACCATAAATTAAAAGAAAAATGCTCTTTCTACAAACCCAGATGCCAGATTTCTTGCGAAGCCCCCTCGGACACACCCTCGGGGTTGACCTTAAATCTCTGTCGAAATTTAGTGCCCGGTCAACTCAGTTTTCTGAGGGAATCGGTCTTCTGTCTAACGTAAGACGTTGATGAAGTTACTAACCCAGCGTGTTTATCATCAATGCATGGTTTGCCGTTCCTGATAAGTGTAAAGAATCTAACAAGAAAACAACATGAAGTGTGTAAAATTTTGCAGCTCCAGTCACCAATATTAATACCTTTTTTGAAAAAATCATTTCACTAACAACTGCTTTTGATATATTTTTGAAACTTTAATGTAAATTGATAATCATTTCATCAGAATGGAAACATACATCATTTCCCCTATATTATTTTTGTTTGTTCCCTTTGGGAGGAGGCATATATTTGACATGTCTGTGTGTGTCTGGCATTAAACCATGTCAAAGCCATAACTTTGAAACTTATTGGAATTAAATTAACTTATGTTTGTTGTTGCCTATGACAGAATGGTGTACCTTCACCTTGACTCTAGTTTGTATCTCAGAGTTCAAGGTCACTGGATTGAAGAATTGGGGAAACAAATATTTTGTAAAGTGAAAAATAATATATGATTCATTCCATTAATTAAAAATCAGTTTGAACACCTAATCTACTTATAGCTATTATTTCAAATACATAAGATTGATGAAATTCATTATTTAAAGTGATGCTTTAATTGATTACACAGATACACGCAATGTTTGCCTTTTGCACAAAATTGTTATGTTTTCTGGTACTGTTAATGTAATACTTGGCAGAAAACAGACAATTAAATCAACAGAAATCTGCATTATTTTTAACAAGATCAGGTAAATAAATTGCACAATGAAGAACATGTTTAGTTTTTCTTTGTTAAAAATTATTAAATTTTAGTTTGTGAGCTTATTAAAGATACTTAATTTGTATCTTCTAACAAATCTGAAATTTTGACAGTTAACAAAACGACACAAAACATCAGCTCAGACCGATAATAAGGGAGACAATAAGAGTGATAGTTCTAAAGACAAGGATTCTGTCAAAGACATCAAAGAAACAAGGGCAGAGACGGTGCAGCCTGTACCTGAAGGCCCCAGCAAGGCCAAGAGTATCAGAAGGAAGGCAAAGCTGATAAAAACACCTATCATAGGTCTGTCAAACCTTATACATTTATATATATATATATATATATATATATATATATGCACGTCACTCATATCTGTTTCTCTGTGCAGACGGAAAGAAATCACATATTATACATTTGTATTTCAGGTTTTATTTTAAATAACAAAACTATGATTCTTTTCTTCTAGCTGAGCCTAAGACGGACGATCCAAAGAGTGGTAGGGGTTCTAGAGCTGACATTGCTCCTGAACATTACGTCATAGAGGAGGAAACTCCTCGTGATATGGTAGGTATTTAGTCCTTAGAAGTTATTGCCCTTGTAGAAAGAGGTCTCTTGGTTCCTAGATTACTAAATATATGATTTTTTTTCTAGACCTGCGTTTCTGCTAGGTCTTCTTCTAATGGAACTGTGTCTTTCCCGCCAATTAACGCCCTGCCGTCTGCCAGATCGTATGGAGAGAAGTCTGCAACAAGCGAATTTCGACCACATGGGACTTTCCTTACACGAGAGAAAACTGAAGCAGAATCAGCAGTTTCAGCTAAAATCAGAAGAAAAAAGTGGAAGGAGCATGCGCCCTGCCTACCTAAATTACGGTCCACGAAACTACAGCTTGATATCCTGACTGCAGGCGACATATTTGTACGTACAGCACTTCCAATGCGCGTGAATTTGCTAATTAATATTCCTGAAACTCGCGATCACATTTTAATTATTTTCCTTACTACCAGATTAGTTAAGTGCAACACAAAGGTTTGTTAACAAGCAATCAATTACGTAACTTAAAAGCAGTCCTAAAAAGTTAATTTTTCTCCATGCAGAGTGATTTGAACACCTTTGTTTTTGTCATAACTAATGCAGTTAACCTGTAAACACTTTTAGTTGCAGCATTTAGACAGCACCAATAACGGAACAAAGGTTAATATTGAATATTGTCAGAGAGCTGTAGGTCAGCTTTCCAGCAACATTTGTCTTTTTGTTGCTAGCTTTCTAGCAACAGTCCTCTGTTGCTCACTTGTGTCACAGTTTTCCACACTGCTTGACTAATAATGTGATCCGTCACAGAAATCTTGTGTGTTGTGAATACTAATGAGTTTGTATATTCAAATGAAATTTAGGGTCTGGATGCTGTTTCCCGTAAATTCAGCAGTTTGTACCGTGACCCCTTTGGTGAGGTGAGATTGTATGGTAGAAAATATTGCAGGAACATATACGTGTATGTACTAGTATGAATACCAGTATAAAAGGTTGCTAGACCATCATTATACTAACGATCGGTTAGTGAAGAGTGATTGTATGTGTCAGACTTGGTAAAAGGAGCCTATTATGTTTCACGACTCATTGCCTCCGCCAAGGAAGTTGGATGTACCTCTTGTTTCATTCATGCTCTGTTCTGTCCACAAAACACTATTGAAAGTCATCTCCTGAAATGTTTTAAGCAAATGATGTCGTATATGCGGAATTCCAAAAATATTTTATCTTTTGATTATGTAAATAATGCCTTATCTATCTAAACTATGGTCAGTATAGATCAGTTGCTTCGGTTTGACATATTATTTTGTAATTTATAAGTACAAAGGAATCGAAAGAGTTCTAAGATCTTATGTCCTTCTTCCTACAGATGAGATGGCGGAGGCATGCTGTCAATTCTAATCTTAATAGTTTAAAAAGCTAAAGTTTCCATTTGTTTTCTAACAATTTCAAATAAGCATTTAATCTGACGCTAATAATACTGCAAATAGCTACATTTCCACCGTAGATCTTACACCTGGGTATTATAGAGAAAACACGACACTGTATTATGTTTATAGAATATATAGAGCTCTATATTCAGTATCAACTCTATATATTTTGTAGAGTTTAGGGTGCAGTTTTTTTTAGTTACATATGCAAAAGTTATAGCAAATCACTAGATATCTTCAGTGAATTAAATTTTGGTACTTTGAAGTCGTATAATGTTGTACATGAAAAATGCAAGAACATGATATATATTATAATCTCTGATGTGATGTCTAAATTGACCGCTATCTTGAAAAACTTCTGAACGAAGAAAGTTTCAATCATTCAATACTTAATTTAGTATTAAAACTTGTATAAAATTAACAGTAAAACAATTGAAAGGATAAAAAAAATCAATAAATGTTTATTTTAATAACTTTGATACATTTTCATCTTAAGCGAAGACAAATGAAATATTAATGTTGGAATTTTTATCATGTAGGGTTTGGAACATTTAGATCCGCCTATCGCCTCTGAACCAAAAGGAGTCAGTCTGGTAAGCTAGCCCTATTTTAGCTCCTTGTTAATCCTATGTTGGAGATTGTATGTAAATATTTCTTATCTAGCTCTTTTCAAGAAGTTCTGATTCTTACAATAACAGTAACCTACTAAGCGAAGAAATCAATGACTAAAGGATGTATGTTAACTTTGCTTACAGATAAGCGATGGTGCTGAAATCATCCGTATTAGTAAACGGTTTTTCCTACAACATGCTCAAAACAACACTATGTTACGAGTAGAGACTATGGTAAGTATAGGCAGAACGACCGTGTGGGTAATCAGGTTATAGACTAACCAGAGTTGTGGAACTTTGTCATGTATTCCTAGGTCCTAGACAGTACCGATGAAATTCATGAAAATTGTTAGATCAAATATCCATGTATATACATATATATATACTTTGATTTTAAGAAAATATATATTTGATCAGTAAAGATGTGGTTGAGTTAGATACCTTTCTCTGTCTTTAAGTTCAATACTTACATGTATATTACATACTAGTCAATTGTACAAAACGAAGTTTTACTTTGTAGCAACGTGATTACATGTCTGTTGAGGAAGCCAGTAAAATCATATACACCAACGAAACCTGGAACCAATACAAAGACATCCTGATGCGGAGAAAGGTGGAGTCGTTATTACGGAGGGACTAGCCACCTCCTCACAGGGAGGGCCTCAGAGGGAGGCAGGGTGAGGACAGGAAGAGGAGACTCGACCTCAATATTCTGTGATACTGACTGTGCAATACAGCTACAACATGAACACTGTTACCGTCCCATGGTGCTTTGTGCTACCGACACGTGTCTGCACGTGTTGAATCATAGTGCTAGTCATACTACTCACTTGTAAATTAACTAATACAGTGCAGCTACAGCGCATCTGTTATTTTAAGACTTCGTGTCCCAAAGTATAAGTTTGGGAGATTTATTTTCTGTGATCAGAATTTACAGCGAAACATTGTTTTTCAGGGTCACTTAAAAAAGGTCAGAAATGCATTAAATTTTATCAGTATTATTTTTCCATTGTCTGTAAATTCTTACAATATCATTTGAAATAAAAAAAATGATTTAATTTCTCTGTTATATGACTTTTTTTAGCACAGTATCTCGATGGGATATAGTACATGTATATTAAATATGCAACAGTCTCAAATATGCAGACATTTTGTTCGAAAGAAATTGGAAATATTATAGTGAAGAAATAGGACTTCTCATGCAAACAAAATGATGAAAACTTTATAACTTAAGTTAAAGCTGACTTTATATGGAACTTTAAAACCCACACAAAATAACATCCAACATTTTCAAATTGCTATATTATCCATAACAGCAGTTTTAATTTGATGTTGAAGTGGCAAACTACATGCAGGACAATGCACTGTGTAACCGAACTGTTTTTGCGTGAACATGTTCGGTTGTCGATAATTGCATCTCGTTTTAGGTATGAATTATTCACACTGATGCGAAAATCAATCGATCGATTTCTTCATGAAGATAATTGAATAGGTCAATAAAGAAGAAACATGCTATATTTCAATTAGTTTTATATTTTGCAAAATTGTTAATTTCTTTACATTCCATGTGAAATAACTTTTCAGTGTGTTCCTAAACTGATGGAGATATATAAGTCGTTTATTTTAATTTTTTTTAAAATAATCTTTTATATAAGGGCAATGAGGAAATGTACAAGGGAACTCGAGCATGTCGGGTAATCCATTTCCCACCATTAAAGATGAAATAAAAACATACGTACATGTAATATCACGTCACTTTAAGAAAAAAATAAAAAAAGCCATGTGACGGAGTATTTAAATCAATAAAAACTCGCTGACAGAAAACAATTCATCCATAATTAAATATTAAGGTAACAACCCGTAACTATGACCTAGAATTGCTGGGCAACACATCCTGTTACCCGCTGACATTGTATGATTTATTCAGGCGTAGTCAAAAGAAAAACTGATGTCGTTGGTAAGTAGTTCTTACACCTAGCTATTTGGAAGGTTTACATTCTTTACTTTCAAAAATGACAATTACGTAGTTATTCAAAGGTGTAAATTGCTTTCTACATGTATGAATTGTGAAAAAGGCTGTATAATTATTGTGAAAAAGTTCATTGTTTATAATATCTGCAGAACGCCTAAAAATGGTCTGTTAAGAGTTTTGTCAAGGTTTATGTAATTAATGTCGGTGTTTATCCAAATTCTTTTTATTTTTCATTAGTAAGTCAGTTTGGCCAACGAACACGATAAATTCTGTTTTGGGTGAATTAAAAAAAAAGACCAGACACACATTAATCAAGTATCATTAAAATGCAGGCGATGTGAGTTGATTTCTATGACTCAGCATATGTCTTTGGAAATTGGCTAATTTATCATAGATATCTTTAGTCACAAGGAAGTTGTACTCAAAATTGATGCTATAGTTGTCAGGAATGCAACACCTTTTTTGTAACGTTTTAATAATTTAAAATTTTATTGAAGATCTATGAAATAAATGATAATGGATTATGTTGGAAACACTTTTCTGATAAAATTCAATGTATTGAGCCTAAAATTTTAATTGTAGTAACTTTTGTTTGACCAAGTTATGGCCATGGCTGATGCTGAAAAAAAAAGCTTTATACCATGTCAGGAGTGCAATAGAAAAAAATATGATGTTGCCAAAAACATTTATTTTAAAAATCTGTATGACAATAACGTCCAAAAAAAAGAGAGAGAGAGAGAATGTTTAAAGTGAAGACAATTCAAAAGTTTAAAATGATATGTGAATCATAAGCAGCATTAACGAAAGTCAAATATCTGTGCATACCCATTTATGTCAGGTGTGCAACATTTAAAGTTTTGCTCCTCAACATGGAAACACTTTTATCAGTATATGATTATTTAATTGCTATTTTGGGAAATAAAGACATAAAGAACATTTTTACCAAAGAAATCCATCAAATAACAGGATCTGACTGTGTTTCAGATCCTTATGTCTATGATCAGGTGCACAACACATTTTTTAAAGATATAAGTTCAATGATGAAATGACTTGTATTTATACTACATGTAATAAGCATTCTTTGATCAATAAAAATCCTATTTCAATAATTTAGAACTAAATTATTTAAAGTTTTATTATTGAAACATGTCTCTTTTTTTCAATTTTAACATACCATATGTTTTTTTTCTTTCCTTTTAAATTTTTTAATTGAGTTTTTTTTTTATTGAATTAAAAAGAAAACACACTGAAAAATTGTCATAAAATTCAAATAAATCAATAAATTGCAGAAAATGTTTGATATAATTTGTAGTTGAAATCATTATGTCTATCAACAAATTACACACAATTTTTGACATTTTACAGTCAATTCACAGATTAGTTTTTATCACTACACACATATTTTTAAATACATTAATAAGCAAATAATCATATTTTGCCTTCCAACTCGGGCGCTTTACAAACTTTAATGAGTTATAGAGTGTTATAATTTTTAAAACAATGTTTAATATAAAACATATCAGATGTCAGGAGATGAGAAAAATAAGGTTAAATAGGAAAACTTCAAAATCTAGTATATCTGTAAACTTTTATATCAAAATTCCCCTCTGGCTAAGATTTGAAAAAAATGACTAAATGGATAAATGGGGGATTTATTGTATCATTTTTCTTTCATAATAAAACTTTCAATCCAGAATTGAGACAATTAGCGTAAAATAACAATCAAAAATCTTTTTTTTTTTCACATACATGTATACAAGAAAAGAAACTCAATTAAAGTTTAAATGAAATAAGGAGATAACGAACAGTAATCAAGCTCAAAAGTCCATAAAAACAATAGAAATCGGAAGCAGAGCAAACTTGGACCTCTAAAAGCATCAGAGGTAGGATCAAGTGCCATGGAGTAGTAAGCATCCCCTGTCGACTGGTCACACCCACCTTGTGCTCTTTGGCATGATCGGGTAAACGGAAAAATCCGTAGACAATTCAGTGTGTAATAATGGCTTAACAATAAGTATGAAACACGTCATTCAGCATTCGACTTAATGATAGATTACCGTATATTTGCTGTCTAATCATTCATATCCCTAACACAAGTTTGAAGAATAAAAAACAACAATTTCTTTTGATTATATATTTTAGAAGGTCATTTAGGATGTAGCAATTTTTTTTTTTTTTTTTTTTTTTTTTTTTTTTTTTTGAAAAATGAAGTTCTACCATAAAAAATTCATTCTGAAACTTTTTTATGCATTTGTGTACTCTATTGTCACTTCAGAAATTTTAACTAGAATGTATATACAGTATTAGGTTATAATTGAGAAATATGTTATCGTAAGTTAATTAAAAAAAAAACCAACAACTATTTGCCGGTCATTATTTTTAAATTCACCCTTTTCTAAACCAAACAATCTTTCTCATGAATACAAGTTCAAGTATCAAAACTTGTAAAGCGCTATAAAAGTTTGCGCGTAGTTTCTGGTTCACCATACACTATATACCCAACATTCTTCATGTTTAAATTTTACCTTTCACAGTGTCATCTGACTGTTTTACTTAGATTGATTGCTTAATCCACAATTTGAGTTTGGTCAGCGAACGATTTCCCCCTACTTTATCTTATCCTTTTAGATGCTATGCTGACAGAGAAGGCCCTGGATTCTAATGAACTCGACTAACAGCACGACCCCCGATAGTGGTGACATATTTGAGAAATATCCGGATGTTTTGGTATTTCTAGTAGTTGGATGTTCCATCATGGCGGTGTTTCTGGTCGGTGTATTCATATTTCGTTGTGTGTCCGAGTCCAGTGAAGGGTCTACCCTCAACAGACGAGTACTTCCACGGAATCTTACCAATAAAGAGGTGTGGGGGGTGGAAAGATATCAGTCTAAACGTATGATGTCCAACGGGGAAAGAATTACAAGGAAAGTCAAGATCTAAAGACCCAGTCCATTTATTAGTAAGTTTGAGCAAGAATAAAAGTGAGGTATAATAGAGTCTGTCTTTTTTAATAATACATGTATTTCATATAAAATGTAATAATTGATATGTAATCTTTCTAATTAACATGCTTATTACTAGTATGTACTATTTGAATGTATTGAAATACATCAAAATTTACCTAATTTATAAATATTTTGCTTTTAGAGGGAAAGTCACGGTGAGGGTAACCTGGGTTGTAATGGATTGATGATAAAGCCCGAGATGGAAGGCAATCGGTGTGATAAACTTACAGAAAGAGGTACCAGGAACAGAATGCAATATGCCTTGAGACTTGCAAATTTGATCTGTGGTGGATTTGGTAATAAAGACAAAGAATTCACTCTTCAAAAAACTATTATAGCGTGAATAAATGACGTATCTTTCTCAAAAGTAGAAGAAAAAAAAATGTTCGGAAGAACTACAATAAAGTCGTTGATTGGAGTTGCCTTTTGCTGAGTTGATTCCAAAGGAGAAGGAAAATGTTAATATACACCCAGCTGATTCATATATGCTAAATGTAAACAAAAATAAAAAAGTCTGAAATATCCATAATTATGTTCATTTTTTTAATCTTTAAAACAATTGATATTACCTGACCTAAGTATAATTATTATCACAAAGAAACAATGTCACTTTTAATGAGGTCTTTATTTTTAGTATCTGCTTTCACAAATAAAAGGATGTGTCTCTGTGCAGCTCACATCTCCCCATTGATACCCAGCATCGGGGTACTGCATCAGTAAACAGTCCTGGTTGCTCCCAACGTTATTTGGTTGCCCAGGATACCAGTTGCTATAGGTAAGGGACGATGGTGACCCTCCATCTGTCCAAACAAAGTTATTTTCTGAGTTTTCATCGTTTCCAGAAATATAAAATCCACTCTGTCCTGCCGTCATTAAACCTGGATAATAAATTTTGATAACTAAAATATAAAGAGGGAAAGGAAACAGGTAAATACATAAAGTCTAAAAATTCATCTCATATTTATGTTTAAACAATACATTTGAATTTTACAATTCCAATTAAACTATATTTTTGTGGCGGAAGACTTTCTAGGGAACCGATTTTTCGTTTTCAAAATATTAACTGGACTGTGAGGTTTGGCTTGCTATAAATCAGTGCAGACTAGCTTAGGAGTTATTTTGTGCAATGAGTTATTTTCTGTCGATCCCATTTGAGATGTCAAATTTTGACAAACAAAGAAATATAGATTACTGTAAAACAACTCAAATTTTAGGCTAACATTAACATATTTATATTTTGGCAGTATCTCAAAATTATCAACAAAATTAGTCCCCCATTTTAAAAAAGACGTTTGTTTGCAGGATTTTACCCATTTAATGAAACCAGACATAAACATCAGATTGTATACAATTGTATTGTATTGTTTAAAATAAACCAGGTAATCATGTTCCATACCTATATCAGGCTGTTTAAAATAAACCAGGTAATCATGTTCCATACCTATATCAGACTGTTTAAAATAAACCAGGTAATCATGTTCCATACCTATATCAGACTGTTTAAAATAAACCAGGTAATCATGTTCCATACCTATATATCAGACTGGATAAGATTAACCAGGTAATAATGGTCCATATCTATATTAGACTGTATAAAATAAACCAGGTAATCATTTTCCATGCCTATATCAGACTGTATAAAATAAACCAGGTAATCATGTTCCATATCTATATCAGACGGGATAAAATTAACCAGGTAATCATGTTCCATACCTATATCAGACTGGATAAGATTAACCAGGTAATAATGTTCCACATCTATATCAGACGGGATAAAATTAACCAGGTAATCATGTTCCATACCTATACCAGACTGGATAAAACAAACCAAGTAATCATCTGGAAAAAATTAACCAGGTAATCATGCTCCATACCTATATCAGACATGATAAGATTAACCAGGTAATCTTGTTCCATTTGATCTGTGATAGAGGCGAGATGGCCGCCATAAGATTCTTTCTTGCACTCATTGATAGCGTTGTACCATGACTTTGGTGTAGCGTGAAATGTATAGCATGACGTCGTGTTGTCCATGTTTACGTGTGTATACGAGTTTGATGGACATTTTGGTACGTCTGTCAAAAATCAATATAATGTAAAAAATATTTTAAAAATTAACATGCAAAGAAATTTAAAGAAAAATGATACGAGGAATATGTTCTGAACAAAGTAAGATTTTCCGCGCGTTTCTGAGGAATACCACTGAGAAGGTAATGGTTTCGTCGTCAACTTTTTTGTACAGGTACTTCTGTAAATATATTTCTTTTCTTTTTTTTTTGGAAAAAAATGCAATTCATAGAAAAAATGCAGAGTTTGAATATAATACCTTGACAAGTTGTATTATAGATGTACACGTCATCAATGGCGACATTACCATTTTCATTAACATAAGACTTAGTACTCCCATGTGTATGGTAAGAGTATCGGTAGTGGGCGTCGGTGCTACCCTCAAACACAACCTAAATAAAACTGTTATTTGAAGTAAAACTCTCCTCGGGAGAAAAAAGAGACCTAAATCCAAAATTATATTTTATCCGATATATTGATTACAAATATGTATTTCTCATTACTTGTCAAATACTTTCAACATGCATCGTATGTCAACTTTCTATTTGTTATGTCGACATGCAACTTATTTATGTCGGCTTGTTTGTCTAACTGTAGTTTGTTGGTTAGCTCTATAGATATTACAGACTACAGTAACCATTTTAACCCCAGTCACATTTCTAAAATAACAACCAACGGCTGAGGATTTTTTAGGCAAAAATGGGATTCTTCGGGCGACAGTCGGCAGTTCAGCGACAGTTGTTTGCCCGATTTTGACCCCTTTTTTCGTCGGCCGACCAAGTTTATGTCTGTCGGACCAAGTTATATTTTTTCTGCGTCGGTGACCGATTTCTTGAAACAGTCATTGAATAGTCCGTCGACCAACCTCGATCATAGTCCGACCATCGGCAGACAGTTTATGAAGTCGGTCGATGGACTAAATGTCCACCGACCGACGACCAACTTACTGCGGCTCAGCGTTTGAAGATCGTTTTCAAAACGTCGGCCGTCGAAAAAGAAACTGCGGCTCAGCGCTTGAAATCGGGGGTCGATTGCTTGACTAAAACCCCAGTTACGTTTCCAAAACGACCAATAGCCAACATTTTTTGTGGCAAAAAATAGGATTCCTCGGGCGACAGCCGGCAGTTCATTGGGCGTTATCTTGCCAGATGTTGACCTCTTTTTTCGTCGGTAGACCAATTTTGTGTCCGTCGGGCCAAGTTATAATTCTTTCTGCGTCGGAAGCCGATTCCTCCAATTGAAGCAGTCGCTGAATAGTCCATCGACCAATCTTCAATCATCGCCCGATCATCGACAGAAGGTTTGTTAAGTCGGTCGGTGGACATTTAGGAATTGGGATTTTGTAAATTTCGACGGTAAAAATTAAACTGCAGCTCAGCGAACGATGATTGAGCGACTTATATTTTTTTTTTACTTTAAAGGAATAGGTGTTCCAAGGAATTAATGTGACTACTCGGAGTCGCCCGATACTAGTGTCGGCCGATTATGTTTTTTCATCCGACGATACGAAAAAAAAATTGGTCGCCCGACCTAGGTATTATGATATTCAAACTTTAAAGTCATCGGTGTTTTTAGGAATTAATGTGAATGTTCCTCGTCGCCAGATGCTAGCTTTAGCGTTGTCATTTTTTTCAGCCGATGATCCAAGAAAAATTTAGTCCGACCATCAACTTATATATGACTCGGGTATCAGTGTTAACCCAGTTTTTGTTATGGAAAGAAAAGGTTCTGTGTGATTGATTGATCTTATGATGTTTTATGTCCCGTTCGAGGATTTTTCACCCATATAGGGACGTCACCATGTCCCGATGAAGGGCTTCAAATTTAGACCTATACTCGGCACTCAGGGCCATTGAGCAGTGAGGGTTCTTCATCGTGCCAGCGCCTACCGTGACACGGGGCCTTGGTTTTTAAGGTCTCATCCGAAAGACCCGTAACTTTCACTTCAAAGTGCTGAGCGCTTGGCGACGGAATAGTTGCCTATTTTTTATCGACTTAGATCAGTCGCGACCGTGATTCGAACACGACCTGTGATCACGGAGCGAGCGCTCTACCGACTGAGCTACCGTGACGGTAGGCTCTGTATGTAAACATCAATAAGTTTATTTCAAGCTGTATATCAATGTGAATAAATTGCATTTCGACATAAACAAGTTACAAGTGTACATGTATATAGATGCCCATATAATCATATTGGATGTTTGCATGTATAATATGCCACCACAATTTGTATTTTTAAAAGTTCTTATTTTAACTTTGCATTATTTATTCTCAGAGAAAGATTACTTGGAACTTGTTGACAGTGTACTCGGAACCTATTTCCACTTCCCCAAGCTTCCAATCCACACTGTTAACTGGCTGGATAACTTTTATTGGGTTCCCAAGACCACCGCCTATCTAACAAAAAATAAGATAACTGTTCAGCTTCAGTTAATCTCTGCAATCTTACATAATATAAGCTAACTGTTCAGTTAATCTCAGCATTCTAATATGTTATTAGTAAACAGGTCAGTTAATCACTTTGATCTAACATATATCAGTTAACAAATCCGTTAATCGCAGCAATGTCACATAATATCAGTTAACTGTCAGTTGACCACCGCAATCTTTCATAATATCGGTCAACCATTCAGTAAATTACTTCAATCTAACATATCAGTTAAATGTTCAGTTAAACTGCGATCTTACATAATATCGGTTAAACTTTCAGTTAATTTTTGCAATCTAACATATCAGTTAACTATTCAGTTAACCACTGCAATCTTACATAATTCTGGTTAACCGTTCAGTTAATTACTGCAATCTAACATAATATCAAGTTATCGTTCAGAAAATCACTGTGATCTGACTTGATACCACAGAGTCTGACACATCTGTTTCATATTTGGATATTTTACTTGAAAAAGACGTTAATGGTAATCTAACAACCAAGCTTTATGATAAACGTGATGACTTTACTTTTTCAATCGTCAACTTCCCTTACTTATGCAGCAATATACCTTCATCACCTGCATACGGGGTATATATCTCTCAGTTGATTCGATACGCAAGAGCATGCTCTACGTATGTACAATTTCTAAAACGAGGTAAATTATTGACAAATAAGTTGATGAAACAAGAATATCAGCTGTCTCGTTTAAAGTCATCATTTCGTAAGTTCTATGGTCGATACAATGACCTTGTCAGCAAATACAATTTATCATTGAGTCAAATGCTGACTGACGTTTTTCATACTAATTGTTAGACCATTATTTACACACTGAATTGTCGACGGATATTTCCGTTATTTCCCGATAATGACAAGGAGCACACGGCGGGTGTGACCGGTCGGCAGGGGATGCTCACTCCTCCATGGCACCTGATCCCACCTCTGATGTTTGGAGGTCCGTGTTTGCTCTGCTTCTATTTTGTATTGTATAATGGACTTTTGAGCTTGAATACTGTTCGTTATTTCCATATATTTCATTGATATCAGTTAAATGTTTAGTTTACCACCACAATATCCAACATGTTAATTTTAATTCTCTACTGTAATCAAATAAACTTCAATTTACATCTAGACAATTACATTAATTCAAGCTTATTTAGTCAGTAATGTAATAACCACCAGTCTCTATAATTAGTCTTTGACTCCCCGAGTGTAGACAAATTGGATTGTGCATACTAGTATACAGGTGTATACTGAGTATGTAGGTCTAACATCAATTTCGTAATTTGATTTGAAAGGTAACAAGTTCTTTAAATTAAAACACACAGACTGGGGCATGCTGCACGTTAAAATAGAATCAGGAGTTGTAATAGGACCTAATAAATTTACTTTAAGTAATACTCAGAATAGTGTTAAATGACTAAGTGTAGACAATAAAAATAAAATCTTAAAACAGTGTATATGTTACACACGCATATACAAAGTAACTGTAAGAAGAGTAGTATTGTTAGGACCTGTCAGATGTCTAAAATTTTACTATGGTTTACTGTGTAATCATAGTAGGGCGGGTGGACTTTACTTGTAATATTATTTCATGCGTGTCAAAACGTTGTGCTAGAATTGGTCAGGAATGTTAATGTTCGCATTTATTTTTACATACCATGAATTAGTTACCCTTCATATTTAATCTCCATGTATTTCTTGAGTTAACTGTCATTATCTTAGCAATTCTACATGTGTAGATTAGCTGCAACACTTTAAATCATCTGCTGCCATGCAACTTGTTTACATCCTGTCTGCCATCTTTATCGGTGCATGTTAAGTAGATTAGTTTCGTATTTAACCTCATGTTATTCATGTTACATTACTGGCATAATTACTTGCTATTAATTATGTTAATTATTATTGTGATTTCTAATATTCATTTTAGTAATTGTTATTCCCGATTACATGTGTCTAAAACTTGTACTATATTTTTATCCATCCGCGATATCGTCTGCATACTCAGCAAGTTTACTTCTGTGAAATTTACAAGTTTCAGATATAAATTGTTTACTTACTTATTATAGACACATCTTTTTCATCCATATTTATTGATTATTTTGTCTTTTCACAACTTAATTCCTGGGTTTGTTTATAATCCATATTGTACGACAACTTTGTTTGACAGTACGACACGATTTTTATTTTGTACGATGTCGTACATTGTCGTAATTGGTGGAACGTCGCCGTACAGCATTTGTATTGGTCGAATCTTGTCATGTGACCCTTTTCCGAAGGTTATATATAGGGGGCGATCGCATTATGTCAACAGATAATTTGCCGAGTTGTCAGGCGCGTAAATTCAAAGTAAGATCCAAGATCTGCCCATATTTTCACCATAGCCATACTATTGTGATTCCAGGTAAGAAAATGTTCGACAATTATCTCCCAACACACTGGACACCTATTTTATTGTAATTAACTCTGGAGATCATCCTACTATAGCCATTGTACACCCCCCTTTTTTATAATAGTAGCCTGTACGGTAGACGCCACCAATATGAATTGTACCTGTTCAGATGAAAACTATATTATGATTAATAAATATTACTGAGACCAAGATGAATCTTATGTTTTCCCTATTACCAAGGGACCAAGGATTTTAGTACAGAAGTACTGACAGTTATTATTTTGTAGCGTCCCCAACTTAAGCTTGGCCATTCCCGGGGAGCTTACAATTTTTGGTGTCAGAAGTGGGATGCTTAAACTTTTATAGCATCCTGTGATACGGGCCCATTCCTTAATTCCTCAGCTGTCCAGTGTGTTGGTTTTTGTTGTATATAGTGTATATATATTGTGTGTATATAAATATACAAATTTACTAAGAAAAAAAAAACGAAATAATTTATTTTTATAATTTAATTTACCAGCCATTGTTACACAAGTATGGCAGAGTCCTCTTATACCTCCCCTGACCCAGAAATACAGTTTAAAATTCACAATGAGGCAGGTCAAGGTGACCTACCCCCTTCCCCCAAGCAGGTTAGGCTAGAAGGACCCAATCATTCACCTATTCCTAATATAGCCCCTGAAATGTTCCGCACGTCAATGACACCAGATTTTGATAGAAATCCTTTCCCAAGACGTCAGCTGGGTAACCCTATAGCTGACTTTTCCCAGGAGGGCATGTCCCTTGTAATGAAACCTGAACCTTATAATGGTAAGGAGGATTGGGACGAATATATTTCCCATTTCCAGGATTGTGCAGAATTAGGTAGGTGGTCTGATAGAACAAAACTTCTTTTCCTTGCTGCTAGTCTCCGTGACCAAGCTAGAACCTACTACATGAGTCTATCTGCTGAAGACAAAGAATCTTTCCAGTCCCTAAGTGGTAAATTAAATCAGAGATTCGGAAAAAGTAGAAATCAAAATAGATGGCTGTCCAAGCTAGAGTTGAGGAAGCGGCTACCAGGTGAGTCTATTGCTGTCCTTGGTGATGATATTCGCCAGATGGCACAAAGAGCGTACCGTAATCTTGATGCACTTGCCCAAGAGGCACTGGCCCTGAATCAGCTATACAAGGTCATTCCGCTTGAAATGAAATGTAGATGTATAGACAAGGACTGTCAGACCGTTGCTGAGGCCGTTGATGTGATAGAGAGATATGAATCTATTCTTGGCACAGATGAAAACAAACAGAAATCTAAGGTACGCGTTGTAGACACTAATTCCAAACCAAAGTGTCCTGCTAACGAACTAGGGACTGAAACCTCAACAAAGCCTGACAAGTTGAAATCAACACTACAAGAACTTATGTCCAGACTTGACCGTTTGGAAAACAATGAAAATAACAGACAGAGGAATTATCAACGATACCCTCAACACAAAAATTGCTTCATCTGTAATTCTCCAGACCATTTTATATGAACATGTGCCCCCAGAGATATCAGCACCAGAGATCACAGAGACCTTCATTTAACAACACCAGAACTAAAACAAGCCAGGGAAACTCCCGTCTGCTGACTCAGTAGGCCAGGAGCCGGCGGAGGTGGAGAGGCCTAAGACTGATTTGGATGCTAGGGGAGGCCACATAGGGGAAATAAATGAGAGATGGGATAATGGTTTTTACACAAAAGCAGAATTACTGGACTCTGAAATAAATTTTCTCATTGACAGTAGGTCAACTGTTTCCATTATTTCTAAAGCCATTTTTGATAAATTTATGCCAGAACAAGCCCTGGAGCCTTTAGCAATAAATATTTCAGATGTCAGTGGAAGAAAACTCTTTACATTTGGATCTCTTTGTTTGCCAATCAAATTTGGAAGCTCTGTTTACCAGCAATCATTCATTGTCTGTGACATTTGTCAAGATGGAATATTAGGACAAGATTTTCTTTTGGATAATGTCCAGAAGATTAACTATCAACGACTAGTCTTACTAACCAATGAGCAAGAGGAAATTCAGTGCTGGGTAGGAGGAAAGGAAAACATGAAGTGCAGGGTTGTGATGAAGGAAACAGTTGTAATTCCTCCGAACTCAGGCTCATTTATACCAGTTAGAATACCAGGTGCAGAACATCTATCTGAGTCAGGCCTAGTGGAGCCTACATCTGATATGACTGGGATATTCATTCCTCCAGGAGTTGTCAATTTGAATAGAAACAATGTAACCGTAAGTGTCCATAATACCACTACTGACCCAATAACCCTGTATATTAATCAACCATTGGGCATTTGTACTTCCTTTACCGATTTAACCACTGAGATGCCTGCCTGTACCCGGGCAGTGCACAATGATCCTATCAATAGGGGTGACACAACAGTGCCTGAATACCTTGCTGACCTATTGGAGAGAAGTTCTGTTCATCTGGATTGTGATCAAGCACAAGTCCTACAAAATCTACTTGTTAAATACCAAGACATCTTTTCTAAGTCCTCAGATGACATAGGTCGGACCAACTTGACTGAACACAGAATAAATACTGGG